TGCAATTTTAAACTTTCGATGCTGATGATAATTTATATTGTCTCCTCAAATAAAATATTTTTAGTTGAAATCAATATGAGAATACGAAACATGTCGGCACCACGCATGACATTTTTCAATCAAAGAGCACGCCTAATCGTATTTCATTGAATTGTTTGAGATGAGCGGGCATTTGAAATATTCGTCAACATAAAAACCCATTGAGAACATTTCTGTGCCAAAAATGAATTTGTTAAAAGATTTTTTTAATTGTTAGCAGTGATGTTTAATTTCAAGTCTATTTTGCTTTAAAGTTCATAGACCACACAATAAAACATTATGTGTGAGGCATTAAGTTAATGATTTTCAGCACGTAAATAACACAAAGACATAATTCTATTTTACGATTTTAAACAGTTTAAAAATATGTTCGTATTTTATCTGTTTAGTCCGATACTGAGAACAAAACTAATATATTATGACAGGTAACGGTAATTAAATGAAATCGTATGTCACTAATAATGTGGCTTAATAATAATTGATGAAACTTATTAAATTCACGTGAATGATCATGATAAAGTAGAAAATAGTAAATTTCTTTGCGAAAAATGACGTGAATTTTTTCTGCTAAGTTTTCTGCTTTAATAATTATTAACTTCAGAAAGGTTTTGATAATTTGCAATTTTAAAATATGCCCCTCTAGTTCTTTAGAGGCAGATCAAATTAATTAATGGTGATTCATTGATGTAATTGTAAAATCCATATATGTACATAAAAGATACATGCTATTCTATATACGGTAACAATTTATGCAAACATGATTATTAATAATGCGAATTGATTAAATATATAAATATAAATAAAGTGTGAAATAAAAGATATAATAAAAATAAATCAGACATCGAATTTGTATATAAGAAGAATTTCTCGACTATTATTTTACACGAAAGTTTATTTATTTACACTGGTATTAAACAGACTGCTTGCATGTACCGAGGCAGAGCAAATACAATATCTCTGTAGGAATATTTAAATTTCCATTCCACGGTCTCTATGCATTTGTTTGTTTGTGCTTGCGGTTCGATGCGTGATGTCTCGTGTGAATGCTGCATGGCGAGGAAATAGTTTCAGTGTGATCTTCAATAATTTTCGGTTCAAACAGATCGTTTCAACAATGGAAAGCTCTGTCCTGTCGTTTGAGATGTTGTGATGGACGTTCTTTTAAGAAATATGTATGCGCAAAAGTTGATCTTGGAATAAATTGTGAAGTAGCATTGAAATGAAACTTTTTCATAATCAACATTTAAAGCACGCATTTTAACTGAAAAGCCTTTCAATTAGTTCACTTGAATGTCGAAAAGTTTTTAAAGTTATTTAAAATTTTGCAAAAAATGTGTTTACAAAACCAGGAAAAGGTTATTGAGTGTGTATCAGTAGTTGAGAAAGTTTTGAGGAATGAGTTGCTGGTAAGCTGCGTTGAAACCAGAAATGTATTAATTTATAACACATAATCTTAATTATTACATACAATTAATCATATAATAAATATATTAAAATCACAAACATAGGACAAATGATTTCTTTTAAATTTTTGACCGTAAAAATAATAATCGTTCAATTTGGATTTAAATTCATTTCCCTTTCACCGTAGAATAGTTGAAGGTTGAACACTGGCCACCAAAATAATATGCGCCAATATTTTGTGTCATGTAATTTTTTTAAATCGCTCCATGAATTTTTTGGACCATAGAAGCATTCTTAAGTTAACACAATAACATTAGGATAATGCAAAAAGAGTTTGAACAAACTCAATGAAAATAATTCAACAAATGTTGGATTAGGAAAAATGTTAGTTATTGAATAGTTGCTGGAAGGATTGTTTGAAAGGTTCTAAAAAGCATTATAAATTATTATTGCCTCAGGAACCACATCAAAATTGAAAAAAAAATATGAAAAAATTGACAAATTTTAGATTAACTTTGAAGTAAATGAATTAATAATATTTAAAACACCTGTAAATTGTCACAAAAAACAGAACCAGAAAATTTAAAAAGCAAAAATTATTAACCACAGCAAAAACCATTTACTTGACTTTTGAGAAAATCTCAAAAAGGTACCTACCTATCAGTCATCACCAAAGTCGCCGCTGTTGGAATGAAACTGAAAATATTTGGAAGCCATGAAGACGTCTGTGAAAAAACTTACCGGCTGTTTGTTTATGGCGGTTGAAAAATAATGGTGATAATGTTTGGCGGTGAAAATAGTAGTGATGATGATTTGTATACATGCCTTCACACGTGTACAGCAAGTACACTACACGTACATACATGTACACATACTTGTGAAGTATATCTATATATGTACGTATCTGTCTGTGTTTTTTTTGTGTGCGTGTGTGCGTGCAGTGCGTGTCATAAAGATCGATACCGTCGCAGAGAATATTTTGCTGAACAAATATTTTTCCACACTTCGCATTGCAGATTTTGATGGTGACGTATTCGACGTCAAACATTCCAAGGTTTTTTCCGTCCAACTGCGTGCAAACAATGCAGTCCTCGCGTTTGATGTTTAAAAACTGGAACTGGTCATATATAGAACTTTGAGCTTAACGCAGTTTTTTATTTCTTATATTTTTCCAAAGTTTTAAAGTTATTTTCTTTTTTTTTTCCATGTCGAAGCGAGGAATAATATTTCAAGTGAGTCAAATTAATTGGCAGGTAATAAGAAGTTCACGTAGGCCAGCATTAAGAAAGGTGAAATAATTCAGTTAATAATAAAAAAAATGTTGATATGCAAATTTTTATCTAACCTTGAAGGAAAGGATGGATTAATGAATGAAAGAAAGAATGGATGGATGGATGAATGATTGAAAAAATGAATTTATATGCATAAATAGAGGAAAGAACAAATGAACAAACAAACGAATGAATCATTAACCGTGTGATTGTTTCGATGGATAATTTAATGAATGAATGAATGAATGAATGAATTAATTAATTAATTAATTAATTAATTAATTAACGATAAACGAATGAGTGTAATTGAATTGAGTGAGAATGAATAAAGTAATAAAAAATAAATTAATCTTTCCAAATTGCTGTTATCTCATCTAGCTCAGCCTGTAATTCTATCTTCTTTCTGATTGTTTTGGATCACCCAAATTTCTCAGCAGAACAATCTCAAATTACAAACATCATTAATCAAATCACTAAACACAAACTTGCCAATATGCGGAAGCTCATTTATTTTTTATTTGTATATTGTTTAAACATCTACAAACATTAAACGTAAACCCTAAAAATTTATTTCTTTTCAAACAATTTCTAAAGAACATTAACGAAGAGGCAAATGCGATAATGCATTGCTTGGTGGAATTCAGTTTATGCTTAGTCTGATGGAGCGCGAGTCAACACCGTGATGGTTCTTTGATAGATTCCTCTGGTTTTCATGTTGCAGCTGCTAAAACCTTATGATGCAGTTGATTATAACAAACTGCGTTAGTTTAGCATGGTGGTAAAGAGTTAATTTTCAGTTTTAAAAGGCTTATCAACCCAATAAAACATCGAGACTTGTAGACAAATAAATATTGTTAGTCTTCGTGCAAATGCGTGCAGTGGTTAACTGACACTCCAGCAGTAAGAAAAACCTTGTTTCAAAATATTACCGTACGATCTTTCATTGATTCCAGGAATTAATTTTGAAAAACAACAACAACCATCCCAATGATCTGCATGTCGTAAAGATGATCAGATGATCAGCTGATCAAATGACCAAATGATCAGCAGATGATCAGACGTCGCATGATTATTGAATCACTGGAGACTTTGAGACCCAATTTTCTGAGGGCAGTCAAACAAAACCATCCAGTCTTCAACCTTCGCCTTATTTGTTCATGGATCAATCCGACTCTCTATACAAAGGTCACAACCCAAGGTCTCAAAGTTTATTTGCCTCGCTTGCATGACAAATGAATGAATGATTAAACGAATGAATAAATAAGTGAATAATTGAATGGATAAATAATGAAATAAAATACGCCGATAAAGGCAAATGCTTCTCTCATCAAAGCAGCACCATCTGAATGCATTCATGTTCACAGTTGAATGGAATATGTCTACAACTGTACAATGACTCTAAAGCCATTTTGGGTTGTTTCATTCGCAATGTTGAACTCTTAATACAAAAAACTTCAAAATTTAATAAATACGAATTCACTTAGGCGGGCTCGTTTTGTATGTGTTAACATTTTTACACAAATACACGCACACACACACAGACACACACGCACACACAAACACTCACATATATATATATTTATAATATATAATTTTTAGCGTATATAGAAAAAAAATGTGTTTGTTTACATCGGTATGTCTGTATCTCAGTACGTGCGGTTCTGAGACATGTAGACTGTGAGTGTGCGCGTATGTTAATGTCGGTGCATGATGTTTGTATGCTAGTGAATGTGCGTGTGTGCATGAATGTATGTTTGTGAATGTGTGTGTGTGTGTGTGTGCATGTTGAGAACGTGTATTATGTGTGTGTGTGTGCATGAATGTATGTTTGTGAATGTGTGTGTGTGTGTGCATGTATGTATGTACGTTTGCACTGTATATGTGCATGAATGTATGTTTGTGTGTGCCTGTGCGTGTGTGCATGCATAATGCTGCCAATGTTTGATTTCATTTGTTTGCCATGCCAGTGCATGTAAATATTGGACTTTTATTCTGCAGACTTCATATTTCCAAGAGATAGTGAGGGAAAGAAAGAGAGATAAATATATATGTGCGTGTATATATATATATATATATATATATATATATATATATATACATAAACATATAAAAATAATTTGTATAATTTGAGTTACTTAAAATATTGTATTACATTTAGATAACACTTTATTAATAATAAAATCGTGAAGAATTTGATTATTTATGAAGTATTTGTTCAGAAGTGTGTTTAAATTTTAAAATAATAATTTTCTTGTCTGTAGAGCACTAGCAAGTAATAAAACTTGGTTAGTAGCTTGATGCACAAATTTTGAAATCATCAGATGATGGCTGACATGGCAACAAGTTGTCTGATTGTTTGCTGGGTTGAAGCATGAATAACTTGGTGCAACAAACATTTCATCCGCTTTAACCAACTCGTCTGAGATGAAAAAATGATTGACAATAAAATAAATTTCATTAGTGTTTAAAATCAGCTGCAATTATAATCATCTAATGTTTTATTTGAAGGCACTAGGCGCTTTTAGTAAAAACTTTTTATGAAAAGGTTCTAAATGAAAAGCGTTATATAAATAATTTTATATGTTTATTTAATTTTTCACATTAACAATCCCATATTGGTCTTGCTAATATGATTGTAAAAAAGCTTCAATTGTGAATTTCAACTTCCAAACATGCTGGCAGTAAAACTGAAACTGAAACAAAATGCAAGCTCCGCGCAGAGGATGGATGGTCTTGTCCGTCTGTCACGAAGTGTCGATGCGTCGATGGGTTTGCTCCAAACATATCAAAATGTTGCTGACAGATATAATGATAAAGATGAATATTGATGAAGACTATGATTCAATGAGGAAGACGACGATGATGATAATGATGATGACGACGACGATGATGATGATGATTACGACGACGATAATGATGATGATGATAATTACGATGATGTGGTAATGATCATCTAAACTCATCTAAACTAATGGTTATATTGCAATGAAAAAGATGATAAGATATGTTGGTGATGATGAAGATGATGGTAAGGAAGGTTGAAATGAGGATGATGATTAATATTGTTCTGATGATTATGATTAATATTGTTGCGATGGTGATGGTGGTGGTTGCCATGATAACCATTAAGTTGCAAAT